AAAATTCTAATATAAAATATGTTAGAATAATTTTTTAAAATTTAAAATTTATATCACAATTTAAGATATACTAAATAAAATTAATTTTAATATAAATTTAGTCTTTTGTAGTACTATATTATATTATTATGTAAATTTAGAATTTAGGATATAATCAATATCATATGTTTGGCAGTATTTTATTACAAAATTTTATGAGCCTCATTAAAGAAAAAAATTATTACTTGCAGTGTCTGGATGTTTCTGGAAGTCAATCAGAACGCGTCACATCATCCAATGCACAATGCATTAAATGATGTTGCACGTCCGAATGACCTCCGGAACAATTTGAACGCGTTCGGACACCGCACAAAATAATCACTCCCATAAAGACATTAGTGTCTTCATATTTAAGATTTAGAATTTTCTAATCACATCTATAAAATTGGGTTCTTTTAACACACATCAATACTATCCACTCATCCTACCTATACTCTTGAGTCCCTTATAATGTCAAATAATAATGGTTATTTTTATAAGAAATATTATTTTATTTATGTAAAACAAATCTAGTTATCATCAAAGATAAAAAATTAGAACTAATATTTCATCAAACATTAGGTTGATTGGCCATGAATTTCGATGCATATTTGAATTGAAAATTTCATCAATTAAACTCAGGGCCATCTAAACTCCGACTTGAGCTATTGTCGAACTGAATGTCTTACCAATGAACCATTGATTCCAAAGGTAATCCAAGCTTTTATTGAGTGCTTTGAATTTTAACTATAATTACAAGCATGTCACTCTCTAAAATTAATAATCCGGCATCCACTCTCACAATGAAAGGGGGCTTGGACATTGGCTTAAGATTCAAAAAATCAAAACTTCGCTTGAGCATCGACATTTAGCAACGTCCATACCTCCATTTTTTTATTGTCATCGTGGTAACACTACCTAGTTACTGTCATTGGAGAACTGCTTGGCCATCATCGTTGAACCACCGTTGTGTGATTGCCGCTGTAGGACCACCGCCCAATTAATACCATCAAATCACAATCACCCGACTATGGTTCTCTGACCAATGTTGACTGACTACAGTCCTCCAACCATAATCCACTATCTATTATTCTCCGACCACTGCTGCTTGACAATAGCCCTCCTAGCACCATCGCTTAACAATGGTTATCTGATCTCCTTCGCCTAACACCAATCCTCCTACCACCATCATCCAATAATAATCTTCTGGCCATCGTTGCTTAACCATGATCCTCAAGGCCACGATCACCTAACAACAACCATTAGCAAGCTTGATAAGGCTTATTTATTATTTTATATGAACTGCTCCTTTAAAGCTCAAGAAGTACAATATGGAATGATATGAGTTGAACACAAAATTTGAACCTCATCTGTTTTAGATGAACCAAACTTGAATACAAATAGAAAAATCGAAATCGAGCTCGAACAAGCTACTATTAAATGAGCTCAAATATGAGCAAGCACCTTCTTAGCTCAACTCAATTAATTTGTAGCCCTAACTGACACTCACCGACTTCGTCATTTACTATTATTAATAATATTAATGCATGCCATCAATTATTAAAGTGTTGATCATCATCGACATCAACTTTGATTCTTGATATCAAGATCAAGATTTAAGCTAGATTCCTTGATCTCTAATCTCCACTTTAAAATAGTACAATAAAATAAATATCAAACAATGTCTTAAAACAACTCACATACCATTTGACCCTTCTAACTTCCACCACAAAATGTGTTACACACATTATATTTTTATTATATTGCATCAGCTTAAGAAGAACGAATTGACACAAAGTGCAACAAGTGATTTGAAGTTTTAATTAATTATGATAATGTTTAAGAGCATTTAATTAATTATTTAAAGAAGTGATTTGAAGTTTTTTATCATTGATGGTTAAATCCAATATAAAACAAGCAGTACTTGGAAGTTAAAAAAAAAAAAAAATTAGCTTGAAGAATCCGTAGCCTACTGATTAAAAAAATCAATTACTGATGGCAGCAAACTCTGAAGGCAGTGGCAGATGACTTCCAAGCTTGTTTAGTCCAAAACAACTTCAATAACAATAGACATTCTTTTGAGCATTAAAAAGTAAGTTGAAATCTTATTTAGAAAATAAATGGCAGCTCAGAAATATTTCTCTTGCAATGAAAATTTAAGAATGAGACATTACAAATTTTAACAACTTTTATCTGATTTCGGCAATTTTAAACTACTGGAGTTTCTTTAATATTGATTGCTGAATTGTTTTAAATTGAGCAGTTTGTCTGTTTCTGATCATTAGCCTCACTGAAACTGTAAAATGTCTTGGTCTTTGATTAGTTACAACTATGTTTTTAAATGTCATTACTAGTTATGCAGGCAGAATCCCCCATGCAAAGTTCTGATAAAAGGGCTCAACACACAAGCTGAAATCATTTTCCATTGCCTATTCCTCTTTAATTAGTTTGCAAAGTTCCCTATCATTCAACAGATTCTACAGATGTTGCTGTATCTGTTAAATTTTATTATTTCGCCCAGATTCCAATATGTGGATTGCAGTGTTCATCAGATCTACAATCAGGTGTGGATCGTTCAGTATAATTAATTCATTCAAACTCATTAGTCCGTTGAATAGTACAATAAAACTCAAATAGAAATGAGTTATTTTGTATGATAAACACTCCTTATAAACTTGCAAGTTCCTTAATTAAATCATCTCTCTACGAGTTCTGTAAAGCTAAATCATTCATCCAATTTCATGAGATCCAAGATGCTCTTCGCTTCGAGTTTAGAGGAGAAGATCTGTTTTGTATATTCTTCAAATTCCAAGCTTTTATAATGCAACTTATCTCCTTTCACTATCTCCGGGATTGGTCCTACCACATCACCAAAGTTTAGTTCATGGAATCCAGCAACAGAGAGCCGTGCCTTTTCATTGTTCACAATAGCCCTGTGCTCAATACTCTTATATTTCCCGTTGCATAATATCTATAACAGCCAGAGAAATATTGATTCATATTCATGTACTGTTTTTAAGCAACATCTTTAAAGACTGTCATAGTCATGATAGCCACAGATAAACTTGCACTCTAGCTTGTTAGCAGAGAGCTCATTAACTTCAGTTTTTAGATTGATTTATCACCAATGAAAGATAATTACCTCAATGATATCGCCAATGTTGACGATAAAAGTTCCTGGTAGAACTTTAACTGGGAGCCATCCACCATTTCTTCTGATCTGTAGCCCCTGTAGTTCATTAACTTGTAGCAGTATTGTCAATCCTACAGAATCAGAGTGAGAAGAGAGGCCTAAGACCTTCTCAGGGGTTGGGCATGGAGGATAGTAATTGAATCTAAAAATTTGAATCCCTCCTTTGAACATATCGTAAAGCTTGTCAACTCCAAGTCCCAGATTTTTAGATATCATTTTTAGAATGCCATCGGCCACTCTCTTTACCTCATCCGCATACCTCTCTAGATTTTCCCTGAAAAATACTACTATTAATGAATAAGCATAAACGTATGCTTTATTATTAATGACGCATAAAAGGATGATTAGTTAGATAATTAGTACCTGAATGAAGGTGGATTAGTGGGCCAAAACCTGAATTGTTTGATGTTTGGAGGTAATGTTGCAACGGCAAGCATGTCTGCCCAGTCAAGCTTTTGTTCCTCCGATTGAACAAAAACTTGACCATAGCCTTCTATTTGCCCTGGTAATTGAGCAACTTTTTCTCTCTCTTCTAATGGAAGCTTAAAGAACTCTTCCACGACTTCTCTCAGTTTGCTTATGACATCTTCAGGTACACCATGGTTTACTAGCTGTAGTTAACATTACAAATTTCAGTAAAGTGGTTAAGAAATTATAGTTGATCAAGTTGCTTGCATCTTCTCAATAAGATTAAATTAAAATTAGTTGATTAGAAGTAATTAACAGAGAGAATTTTAGTATGAGGACTCTCTCACCTTAAAATTATTTCATTTCTATTGACCAAAAAAAAATTATTTTTAACAGCAAATATTTGATCCATAAAAATGATTACAATGATCCTAAATTATACTAAAAAAATTTCAAAATTCTTGGATCAATCCTCATACTCTAATAAAAAATTTTCAGAATGAAAGGAAAAAAAAATATTTTCTGTAAAATTAAGGCTTGTTACATACGTGGTATAAAAAAAGAAGAAGAAAAAGAATAAACCTGGAAGAATCCCCAGCCTTCACAGGCCGAGTGGAGCTTTGCAGCTTCCTCCTCGGAGTACTCGGAATCGAATAACTTGCCGAAATCGATGGCCGGAATGCTTTCACCGGAGATTTCGTCGTCGCCTGCCAATATGTCTTCCTTCCTCTCCGGCCTGACATATCGTGGTATAAAAAAAGAAGAAGAAAAAGAATAAACCTGGAAGAATCCCCAGCCTTCACAGGCCGAGTGGAGCTTTGCAGCTTCCTCCTCGGAGTACTCGGAATCGAATAACTTGCCGAAATCGATGGCCGGAATGCTTTCAACAGAGATTTCGTCGTCGCCTGCCAATATGTCTTCCTTCCTCTCCGGCCTGACATATCTATCCGGAATCTCCAAGCTCAGCTTTTCAGCGAGAGCCTGCACATTAGCCACCTTCAAAGACCCTCCAAATCTCCCAATTCCCATTTTTTCTTCCATCTCTCATTCTCCAAAAATTGTAGGTTGGTTATCATAAGCAATATATAGCTGGTTTTATATACAGCGAAGAAAGATTTTTCTAAGGTAAGAAAAATCTTCTCTAAAGTCAAGCCTACAATTTTTGGCTTCGAATGCATTATTAAATAACGACTTTATTTGATGCATTATTTCATTTCGTACTCCCAAAGTCTTAACAAACTGCTATATGCTCTTATCACAATAATTATAGCTGATACATCATCATGAAATAATCTTGATCGGGCACGAATCTCGAGGCAAAAACCAACCCGAGAACTTCAAAAATTAAATTCAGGAGCATCTGAACTCTGATTTCAGCAAGCTTATAGTCAAACTGAGCGTCTCGGAAATACGAATCCAACGACACTAAATTCAACCCAATCCAAGCCCAAATGGGTCCTAATCAAGGACCCGAAGCGTTGTTGGAAGGTTCAAACCACAATTTGAGTTACCAAGGTTCAAACCACAATTATTTTACCAAACGGTCTCCGATTTTAACGAGCTTATACTCAAATCGAGCGACTCGACGAGACGAATCCAACAAGTCCAAGATCGCCAAATTCCGACATCACTAAGGCCTTCAAATGTCCAACGAACGGTGCACGATCGAAGGGTTCAACATCAACCGTCCATTCGACCACTCCCTATTCGCCCCTGATCTCACACCTATTTACAAGCCGTGCAACTCCAGAAAAACCATTCTTCCACCGTCATTGACGACTACCCCCCGCTCGAGCTTCCGCTCAAATGGCGTGACCCCCCTCCGCTTCAATACCGGATCCCTGTTCCCAAACCTCTTCCGCTGCTGCCTGACCTGACCAACGCCGAACCGACTCCGTCGATCCAGATCCGAAGCCACAAGTCTTCAACAAAGCTTCCCGCAACCCCAGTCGCAGATCAGCTTCACGCAGCCCCGTCAGCCGCCGATTTGGAGTTACCGGCAGCAGCCGACCAGGCCCCCGCCGACCCGACTACAGCCATTACCAGGTCGCGAGAGACATCTCCGGCGCCCACAAACCTGTTTTCACCTTCAGTTCTGCCGGCATCATCCGACGATGCGAACTTGGAAGACAGATGTGCTCCTCAAACTCCGGTCCAACCCGTCAATGTCCAATGAACGGTGCACGATCGAAGGGTTCAACATCAACCGTCCATTCGACCACTCCCTATTCGCCCCTGATCTCACACCTATTTACAAGCCGTGCAACTCCAGAAAAACTATAAATAGAACCCTCATTCTTCACAAGAGGACTCAAGTGAGAAGAGAGAAAAGAAGAAGAGAAAGGGGAAAGGGAGAATCATCTCCTCCTCGACCACCGCCGGAGCTCTTCCCGCCGCCTGAATATGCAGGAACTCTGTCGGATTTTCGGGAAACGTCGGGATTTTGCAGAACTTTGTAACTTTGTTAGAAACTGATTGTAAACTGATCGTCTTGACTTGTGAGACGAATCGGTCTTTGTACTTTAAACAAACACTAGTAGAATTATTTCAACTGGACGTGGCCCCGTGGTTTTTTCCCTCTTCCGGGTTTTCCACGTTCTTAATTCTGGTGTTCATTCTTTTTTCTGTTTGTGTGCTGAATATTCGTACAACGCTCAGACGCGAATTTACAAACTCTACCGTCGCGTATATTTCAGCCCGCAACAATAGCATTATTGTTCATTTATTTTTGCCCTTTTAAGTCTACTTAAATTGACAGACTTCAGCATTTTCTTTTCAAATTACTTTTAGATTGTTCTATTTGATTCAATCTCAAAAGTTTTAAACATGCTGTACATCTGATATACACTAGAAAATAGAGCTAATTCATTACTAATTTTAGACTTTTTTGTCTCTAAAGGTGGTAGTTTAAATCGCTGGCGTAAATCGCCTACGACGACAATCTGAAAACCTCCGCAACAGTATGCTGCGAAAAAAAAAAAATGTTTTAGTTCTGTGAATCACTTCAATCTGAACCCATAAGTGAAATCAAATCTTTAGTTTTGAAGTTTGCTTTTTTAAAAGGTCTTTGTTTCATCTTAGTCTGGTGGTATATTTTGAATTTGAGCAGGAGCTTGCTATTAAAATTTTTTAGTGTTGATGTAACAACTTGGAAACTTCAGTAATATATAGATGATCGAATAATTATCAGCTTACCAAAGACCATGAAAAGAGAATCAGCAGGCTGCCATTAAAATTTGATTATATAGAGCTAATTTAGGCCTCATTTGGTTTTTCCTTACTTTTTTTTTTCGTTCTTAAATGAAGGTATCACAACGGAGAAGCAGAATTTTTTTCTTCTCAGATCGGCGAAAACACGGAGGTGTAGCAAAAGGTATTTTAAAAAAGTCACGTAAACAAACAGTAAAATCATAATTTTTTTCACCGATTGAAGTTGAAAATGGAGAAATTATGGCTTGCAGTAAAAAAAAAAAAAAAAAAAAAAATAATCGTCTTCTCTGATCGTCTTCTCAAGAATATGGCTTGGATTCTTGTATGCAAAAAATGATGATTAGAAAGTTCATTGGAGCTTTCAAATTGAAAAAAATTGGAACTTTGAAAGTAAACTACGAGGTACAAGACTAGATTGGTGGCTGAGTTCTACACTTTAGAAGAAATATGACGATTGCAATGATATTTTCTTTCTTGTGATCAAGCGTACATCAATACAAATATGGATGAATCTAATGACTTTTTTCATTTATGAATTGCAACACCTGGATGTAAAAGTAGCATTCTTCCATGGTGAGTGAGAAGAAATAATGTTCATGGCTCAAACAGAGAGTTTCATTGTTCCAAATAAGATAGATTTGTCATTGGTAGAAATTTACGTATGATTTACAATATGTTATTTGATTATTGTCTGTGGAGATCCTATCAAATCAAAATCTCATCTATATTCAGTTTTAGTATTATCATTAGCAGAAGTATAGTATATCGCTTCAACTGAAGCAAATTTGGTTCTTCTAAGACTTTGGAGATCTAGGCTTTGCATAAAAAATCATACTTAATTAGGTAATAAAATCATTAAGATCCAAATAAAGATAAATGTGATTAAATATGATATGTTTATTTTGCATAGATTTATTACCATTTATAGTATAATAAACACCCTCAAAGAGGCAACAAGTTCCTTTCTGAAATCATATCTCCATAAGTTAGAAGGAAAATCATTTGTCCAATTTCATGTGATCTATTATAGTCTTCCCTTCCAGTTTACTAGCTAAGACCTGCTTGAAATACTCTTCAAATTGCAAGCTCTTATAAAGCAACTCATCTCCTTTCACTATCTCCGCGATTGGTCCCACTAAATCACCAATATTCAGTGAATGAAATCCAGCAACAGACAGTCGCTCCTTCTCATTGTTCACGACTGCCCTGTGCACAATGCTCTTATATTTCCCGTTGCATAGTATCTGAAACAACTAGAGAAGTACTGATAAGAAATATTCACATCAGACTTGATTAGCCACCAGTAAAAGATAATTACCTCAATGATGTCGCCAATGTTGACAATAAAAGCTCCAGGTATAACTTGAACTGGGAGCCATTTACCTTTTCTTCTAATCTGTAGCCCCTGCAGATCATTTACTTGTAGTAATATTGTCAATCCCACAGGATCAGAGTGAGGACAAAGGCCAAAGACTCTCTCAGGACTTGGGCATGGAGGATAGTAATTGAATCTAAAATATTGAATACCTCCCTTGAATATATCATAAAGCTTCTCAAATTCAAGTCCCAAACTTTTTGATATCATTTTTAAGAGGCCATCAGCCACTTTCTTTATCTCAATTGCATATGCATCAACAGTTTCTCTGAAAAATATGAACAAAAATAAAGAAGCATAGATACTAATGATGTGAATGAGGGGGATTAACTAAATAATTAGAACCTAAAAAAAGGTGGATTAGTGGGCCAAAACCTCATTTGTTTGTAGTTTGGAGGAAATGTTACAATGGCAAGCCTATCTCCCCAGTCAAGCTTTTGTTCCTTTGATTGATCAAAAATTTGGCCATAGCCTTCTGTTTGGCCCGGTAATAGAGCAATTTTCTCTTTCTCTTCTAATGGAAGTTTAAAGAACTCTTCAGTGTCTTGTCTTAGTTTGCTTATTAAATCTTCAGGTATACCATGATTTACTAGCTGTAGTTAATATTAAGTATTTTAGTAAAGTGGTTAAGAAATTAAAAATGATGAAGCTATTGATTTCGATTGAGAGAAGATTATAGGTGCAGTAGTCTTGATGGTGTCGAAGGATATGATCTTTGAATGATATTCTAACACACCATACCTTCGTAGACTACGACCCAAATGTGAGTTGTTAAGATGTGTTGCATCATGTGTCCATCGATAGCGTTCGAGGGAAGATGGTATAGACCATGGCAGCATTGATCTAAGTTATCTATTTATTGTGAGTAACTTCGACAAAGGATCATGCTTTAGGTTCCTCGAGGCAAACCACGATCTATAAGTGCTGAGGAGGTTACCAAGGCATCCCTTTATGACCCACCCAATTGACTTGCAAAAATATGTGTTAGATAGTGATGGTGTTGACACATGGATGTAGACCATGTGTAGAGCTCTGATGATTCCTTAATGTGCATTGAGTTTTCGGGGTTACAAATTGGACTAATGACAAGGAAGCCATGTTAACAATTTGGTAGACAAACACATCAATGCAATCATCCACATTAGAAGAGAAAAAAGTTCAAGGACTTGCAACTACCTCCCAAACTAATATTAACCTAAGGAGTGGAGACTAAGATCTAGGTGTCCTAATCAAGCTAGCTCATAAGCCAAGCCTTTCAAGCTCGAACTTGAGTTCCTTTATTATATAAGCTATAATTTGAGCTCTAGCTTAATCTCGATACCTAATAAGCTCAGCTTGTGAACTCATTAATGAGTGAAGATTGAGCAAGCCTGCCTCACTTATACCCCTAGCAAGCATCAGACAATGACCAATGAGCAATATCACAAGTCAAATGACTTCGGGCAGCTTGCTTATACTCTATTTGGAGGGGAGATTAGGCAACCCGAAAGAAGGGCATCAAATGTCAACCATTGCCCAATGTCCTAATGTGAATGTTATAAGTTGAGCAATCTTGTGATATGAGTGGAGATTGTGACAAGAAAATTGATATTAAACATTGGTCATTAACAATGTTGATGTGGTAAGGCAAGCATCGATGTCAAGTGACGATAAGCATGATTGTTAGACTATCACTGCAGGAAAAATGACATTTTTCTGTGCCGCCGAAAAATGACTAAAATTCATTAGTAATTAGTAATTCCGACGGAAATACTAATACACTGGAAAAAAAATTCACCGGAAACATTTCAGATGGATTTCCTAGGGACAAACCCGCCGAAATTTGCTGCCAAAAAGTTAATTTTTTTTTTAATTTTTTGCTCGAGTAAGCCCGCAGCTCACCCGTCTGCCCGCAAACCAGCTACCACTATTGACACTATCGCACACATGCCCACTTACTAGCTACCTCTGGCGACCGTTCAACAAGCCTTTGCTAATATTATTTTTAATACTCATTAAATATTAATTTTAATTAATATATGGTGAAGAATGATGTCTGACATCAGCATTTGTTGACAAAGGGTGTTGATGATATTGATAGTCGATTGCCATTGCCTAGTAGTAATTGGCAAATTTTTGAATTTTTTTACAAATCTTTGATTTCCTTTACCAAAAATTATCCACTTAATAAGTGGAAAAAATTCTTCTTTATATACCTAGATGATGGAAATTATGTTCATTTTTATAAGAATATGAAACACTCCATCAAATAATCTTTACAAATCCCATGTTATTAGAGGTGTTAACATAAAATTGATCCACCCAAACTATTTGACTTGAATCCAATTCATTTATATAAAGGTAAGAATGCTTGACCCAAATTTGACTCAGCACAAACCCAATTAACCGTTTAAAAAATGATTCATACAACTTTTTTTGTGTCAACACAAATATGACTAGTTGAGGCAAAAGGAGGGTTGTGGCTAGCCATATTTTAAACCAAAAAACTAAACATATTAATTTGGTGTTGATTTTGGGTTTTCAAGTCAATCTAAACGTAATTAAAATATTAAATGAGTTTGCATTTTAGATAAAAACCCATATTGTTTATTGACATTAGACATTTTAGATTAGTGATACTTCTCTAGTGAAATTGAGTTCATGAGTTGAGCCCGAACTGCCTTAAAAATGAACTCAATACATGAACATCATTAGATCAATCAGTCGAGCTCAAAATAGCTTTGACCTGAATTTAACTCGACTCAACCCTAGCTTGTTACTTTATATACAATACAACATTCATAATTTTTTCGTATAAAATTATACATGAAAAACTAAGCTAAAAGTAACTTAAAGTCTTATAATTAATTATCACTATTTATTTTAAAAATGTTACCTTAAGAATTTATTTTTTAAAGTTGCATTAATAATATTTATACTAATTCCATATTTATTTTTTGGCTCATATATATCTTCCAAGCTTCACCCAGATTTCACCCGCAGGCGTATGGAGACCAACAAGAACGCGCCACTTCACTTTTTTGCTCGGTACCAGTGCTCAGTATCTGGTTGATCTCTGGATCATCCGGCGCAAGTACAGAATAATTTCTCCCTCCATTGGCAATTGCTTGAAAGCTTTAGTTTTTTTTTATTTTTAACAATACAAATCTAATAATAATTAGATACGATTTTTAGTAATTACCTGAAAATAATCAAACAGATATCTTATAATAATAATAATAATAATAATTAATTCTTCGATCAACCCTCACATAATATACAAAATATTCAAAATGAAGGGGAAGTCAAAAATCTGTTATTTAAAAAACTTGTTACCTGCTATAAAAAAAATAACTAAAAAAAGAAGAAGAAGAGAAGATAGACCTGGAAGAAGCCCCAGCCTTGGCAGGCCGAGTGGAGCTTTGCAGCTTCCTCCTCAGAGCACTTGGAATCAAACAACCTGCCAAAATCAATGACTGGAAAGCTTTCGCCGGAGTCTTCTTTGCCGCCGGCGACTATATCTTCCTTCCTCTCCGGCCTGACATATATATCTGGAATTTCTGGCCCCAAATTTGCAGCGAGAGCCTGCACACTGTCTACCTTGAAGGACCCTCCAAATCTCCCAAATCCGAATTTTTCCTCCATCAAGCTCTGCCTTTCTCTCCCGGTACTTCTCTTCAAAGTGTCGATTCAAATGAGCTACAGCCGGTTCTATCTACACAGTGGAATTTAAACTAAATTGTGCTTTATTGCTTAAAACGTTTTTAAAATTTAATGCACGTTCTTAATCGTGACGAGGTCGCGTGGCTGAAAAGGCACCACACATTTTTCTTCTCATCATTTAAAAAATGTTGGTATGATTTTGATTGAAATCTTAAAATTATCGCAGCAAGATAGGGACCCTCTCTGTCTTTCCAGATTATTTTTTAATTTTTTTTCGAATTACATTATCTAAAAGTTTTAAATAATATTATTCATTTTAATCTGTAATTATTCAGTCAGAATACAATTTTCATCAGAAAATATTTTTTTTTTCTTACAATTCTAATCACATGGATAAAAAAACTAAAATAAAATCATTTTTAATTTTCCTCATTATGCCAATCTTCAAGTTTGGAGCCGGGTTTGAGTAGTAGACTTATCGAGCTCGGCTCGTCAGTTAGAAATTTGGTTTGAACTCGAGCTTGTCTCGTACTATTGTAGGTCAACTCGTCGAGCGGCTCGATTTGAAGTTCGAACTCCGATTTCTTGTATTTTTGTTTTTGGGCAAAACATTCCTAATTGAGTCTAATTAATTAATTGAATTGATGGAGTCAATCATTTGATTGAATCCCAAGTCTAATTAATCATTGGTTGAGCCAAATTAATCCAATTATAACAAACTCCTCAAAGTGATTATTTCACTCAAACGAATTTCATTTTTTTTAAATCCAATGGATTAATTCAATCAAATTGAGTCAATTTGTCCAAATTAAACCTCTTACTTAGAATGTCCCTAAGTGGCCCATAAATAGTTGTGATATATCACCAAAAAAATATCTTGATCGGGCACGAATCTCGAAGCAAAATCAAGTTGGAAAGTTCAAAAATCATTTCTCATAGCAGGGGGAGGACAGGGAAGGAGGAGGCCCAAACAAGAAGAGAAGAGATGGAAGTAAGGAAGAGACTCCTCCTCAACCACCATCGGATTTTCATGTAGCAGCCTATTGTCGTTGGAGTTCTGTCTGAATTTCATCTAATGCCAGAGTTCTACAAGCTTGCGATTGACGTCAGACTTCTACCCGATGCTGGACCTCCGCTCATCGTTGTATTTCTACCCGACGGCGAACTTCCGCCCGTCACCAGACCTTCATCGGACTTCTATCTAACGCCAGACTTCTGTCCATCAACAGACTTCTAGCTAACGTCGTACTTACACCCGTCATTGGATTCCAATCCTACACCGGACTTCCGCTCGTCATTAAATTCCTACCTAATGATGTACTTCTGCTCATCATCATATTCCTGCCGGAAGTTGGACTTACGCCCGTCATCGAAATTCCGTCAGACTTCTACCTATCGTTGGATATTCGTCAGACTCCTATTCGAAATTGGACTTATGTCCATTGTTGGACTTCTAACTGACGTCATCTCAACGATGTTATCCTTCCAACATTTGTCGTTAGACAATATTCCTTCCGACCTCCGTCGCCTGTCGACTACAGTCCTTTCGACTTATGTCGCCCACCGACTACAGTCTTTTTAACTTATGTTGTCCACCGACTACAGTCCTTCCAACCTCCGTCTCCCGCCAACTACGTACCTTTCGACTTACGTTGCCCACTGACTTCAGTTCTTCCGACCAAACAAACACATCAACAGTGATTCTGTGTATTGTCATCATGTAATGCACTATATAGGATGTAAATCAAGCTAAGGCCTTTCCCCAATGAAGAGCCTCTTTTGTAATAAACTGCAAATACTAGTGGATTCATTCGAACGGGGTCAGGTCCCGTGGATTTTCCCCTTTTTTCAAGGATTTTTCATGTAAAAATCTTGGTGTCCTTATAATTGAAGTAACATCACTTTTTATCTGATTGCGTGTTGGATCTTCGTATGAAACTAAGATGTTAAACTTTGTATTTCTCTACTGCCACAAATACTCTGGGACACAACAAGTTGAATGTTTAAGATCAACTTTAACTATGAAAGGTCAAATTAAGTTTATTTTAGCCTGAATGTGTCTATATGTTTTTCTTTTCTTGATAAATAAGAAAAAAGAAAATAAATTCATAATCTATTATTTGATTATTTAGATGAATAAAATCCACCTAAATAAATGAAATCCAATTAACTAAATTTTTTTAAAGTTATATTTTCTTACGATAATCATTTTGAAACTTTTTGGGATGGCACCATTTAAACAAAATTCAAATTAATAGTTATTGAAAAATATTAAGTAGAAACTTAAATTTAAATTCAATTCAAAATTTTTACCAAAATGTCTTATTTCTTTATTCCTATGAAAATTTATATTTAATCAAATATAAATGTCGCATATAGCTCATTATTAAAAAATATATATATTTTTTCTCTAAAAAAATTAATTTTATTTATTTCTCCTTAGAGTGAAAAAAGACTTGACGTTGTTATTATAATGATAGTATTATTTAATTATTTAATTATTTTTTTGAGGCAGCCCCTAGCACTTAGTTTTCTACATAGTTGATAATGTGAATAATTTATATATTAGATATTCGAATTCTCTAAAATTTTTGTACTAAAAATTTAGTATAGAAAAAATATGATCCTCTTTGATCTTTTAATAGCATCCTATTTTATAATAGATCTGTTGCGTCCAGGAGTATTCGCGGCGGTAGAGAAATACCATATTTAACGTCTTAGCATTGCACGAAAATCCGGCACGCAATCAGATAAGGAGAGAGGGTCTAGCATTTATGAGACACCAAGATTTTTACGTGGAAAACCCCAGGGGCGGAACCAGCCTTTCATCTTAGGGGGGGGCAAAATTTTCTTTGTATAATAGACTAATATAAATAAAAAAGATGATATAATTCAAAGTGAAATCATGTATTCCATTATGATAGGAAAATTGAAAATCATTACAATTTTATCAATCTATTTTGCATTTTTTGATAATATTGGTCGCTGAAATCGGAGTTCATATGCTCCCAAAATTAATTTTTGAAGTTTCCAACTAGCTTTTGCCTCTAGATTAGTGTCCGATCAAGATATTTTTGAGATGACGTATCAAGATCTAATCGGAACCATTCAAGAAAAATCAATTTTATAAGATATCCCAACAATATCTTATATAATTGAATTTTTTATATTTAAATACTCTTGCAAGTTGCATCTTATATAAGAAAAAAAAAAAAAGAAGACCTATCTGAAGCTCTGGCGTGAGAGACCACATGACCCTGCAGCCTTTCCAGCAGCCCTAAGGCCCATCATAGATGAGACAGAGAGATATCACAGGACTAGCCAGAGAAAAATCAACCAAACAGAATCAAGGAGTACCACACTGTACCTTTTTCTCTCTCTACACTTCTCTCTCTACACGCACACTCTCTCTCTACACGCACATTCTCTCTCCTTCAAGGACACAAGCACATGGTGGAGAAAAGAAGAGGGGCCAGCTTAGAGGCAAATTATTGCATCCGGTCACCGGATGCGAAGATAGGTCGGAATATTAATAAAATATTTTTTTAAATTTAGCGCATCAAAAGCTCAGGTAAATCACAGGTTAAAGCACAGTAAAAGCGCAGTCAAAGCGCAACTAAAGCTCAAGTCAAAAGCGTAGGTGACGTGACAAATTTTTTTTATTGGACGTCCGAACCTATTCTCCGCATCCGGTGACCTGATGCAATAATTTGCCCAGCTTTGAACTGCCTCCTGCTTAAGAGATTATTATGTGTGAAGTCCCGATTTATAATTTTTTTTTTCAATTTTATGATTGTGAATAATAAATTCATAATAGTGAACAATAAAAATACAATAATAAACAAAAATACAATAAAATCATAGTTATAAAACAAAACGATTCTCTAGGTACAGACTCCCCGCACGTAATAATCTCTCCTCCTGCTTTGGATTTGAAATTGAAAGACTTTGTAGGAGGAGAAATTATTCTGTGCGGACACCAGACGATCCAGATATCAACCAAAATGCTCTACGTCATCCGGTACCGATTAAAACAGTAACATAACCCGCTTTGGTTGGTCACCGGACGCCGTCCGATATTCGCACATAATAATTTTTCTTGTAGGAGAAGCGGTGGCACATTGTTTTAGAATGTAGGTTTTTTTGGAACTTCTTTTTACTATTTTTAAAAATAGTTTCTTAATAAAAATATATATCAAGAAATAAGAAGGAATAAAAAATCACTCAAATGAAGTCTTAGATAAATAAAATAAAAATAAAATCGTCAATAATCCCTAATTTCGCCCAGAAAAATACAAGACTATTATATCGAGGGACTCATTACTTTATAATCATGGAGTTAAATATAGATTGTGACGTTAATATCCTCTTAATCAAATTATTAACATCGTGAAGACAAAGATTAGTGCTTGGCCGGAGAATAATATGGTCCTTCAAATCCACGCTTAGTGTTGCTGAGAAAGTTATAAAATAAAGCGAGTTACTTATCAATTACTCTATAGCCTATAACAAATTAAGAAATGCAGTAGCTGCATTTGGATAAATATTAAAAAAAAAATATTTTTGATAGAAAATTGTTGAACTCTACCAATAACCAGTATCATAAATTTTTTTTTCTCGAGATTTCTATGTATAACACTTGAAATTAGTCTAATTATATATGGAGCACTTGAATTTTTTTTTAATTAAATTATTACTTCGCTATTTTTTGCTAAAGATATTGTTACAATAGGATTAGGGCTGTGAAAATTGGGTCACGGGTTGGGTTTGAGTCCAACACGGAACTGACTCGACACTGTTCGACCTGAATTGTTTTTGCAAACGGGTCGGTTTTTCGGAACTGAACCAAACCCACTTCGGGTATGCTTTACTAATAATTTTTTTATTTAATTCGATTTATTTAAGCTTAAATCAAATTAAGGTACGAATTACTTCAATCAATTTAAAATAAATCAAGCTTAATTCAATTTGGGCAACATGGTTTAATGAAAATATAATTTATTTATTTCAAAACAATCTTTTAAAATCCTCTTAAATTTTTTAAATACGGATCAAACTGGGTTGGTTTCGGGTTTTCGGGTTAACCCGAACCCGACCCGGTTTTACAAATGGGTCGAAATCCCTAACCCAAACCCGAACTCGATCCGGTTCCAGTTGACTTGAACCCAAAATTTTCGGGTCGGGTTCGGTTGGATTTCGGATCGTGTTAAATATTGATAGCCCTAGATGGGATCTCATTACGGAGAAGGATGAGGCTGATGGCGTGTCAAAGCCAAGCAAAAAAAAAAGATGTAAGAAAGTTGGATTTGTTATTCTGTGTAGAGTCCGGATGGTGTCCGGAGACCAATAAAAATGCGCCACATCACCTCAAAATTTATCGCGCTCGGTACCGTACACTTAACCAGACAGAAGAACTGTCCGGTTTTCACACAGAATAAAAGCTCAGAATGATGCTATATAATCTTGCTGGAAAAGGGAATTGATAGCATCGACAATGTGTGAATGTCTGCTTTGCAATAGTAGAGTTTTTGAGCTTAGAGTTTTTATTTTGTTGTCTCTAGCTTGTAAAGGCCCATGGAGGGAATATTGTAGGAGCCATTGGAATCCTTACTCTTACAATATAGATATCATAAGTTACATGTTTTAGTAACGTGGATGCAATGGTTAACGTGATATTATAGAAAGTGACAACGTGGCATCTCCTAAATGGTTTGAACGAGTAACAAATACTATTGCAGTATCATGAAAACAAAAAAGATTATCTTTTTTTTATTTGACTAACGAATTTTATCATAATAATATAATATCCCAAGTGGCTCAGCTATGATATGATATCCTGAGTGGCTCAGCTAAGATATGATATTGACACTCTCTTATAAGTAATCCAATCAGTATATGGCTAGAGATAAAATCTTGGTGATATCATATCGAATTATTCACATAACTTTCTCCCATTAAATCAAATAAAATGCAGTATATATATATATATAATAATGCCAAAGCTCACAACAACATATTGATATGCAACTTGTGGGTGTCGAACTTCTCTCTCTTTGAGTCACATGTTGAATTTGACCAAATAGAATTGGGATACAAACTGAAGAAGATGTCAAAATTAGGGATAGGGGCAAATTATTACGCCAAGTGTCCGGATTTGTCCGGACACCAATCCAAACTCGACACGACACCAAAATATACCGGGACCCAGTGTATTCGGTTGACGTGGCGTGTCTGGATTAGGTGTCCGGACGTCCGGTGACCAGACGTAATAATCGCCGGTATATAGGAGACCGATAGATAATGAAATTACAATCCCTTGAGATAGGGGGTGTGTCTTTTTATGAGGTGAATGCTTTGATTTCTTCAACAAGTATAGTCCATGCACATCAGCACTTACTAATAGTTTTAATTATCCATTATCCAACCAGCTTACCTGCCCAAGGAACATCCCACCAAGTTCAACAAAAATTGAAAAATTATTAAGTGCGGCGTCCGGAGTCATCCGGAAACCAGAAAAAATGTGTCACGTCATCCCAAAAATATACCGCGCTCGATACTGCTCGATACTAAACGCATAATCGAACGGAAGGACCGATATCCGCATAGAATAATAGCTCCAACAAATTAAGAGGATTGAACGTTGGGCTCAACAAAATCATGCTCCTCCAAATACAACTTGAGACATGCAAAATTGTGAACCACACAAAAACCATTTAATGCAAAATGGATGAAAGAGAGAGTGTGTGTGTGTGAGAGAGAGTGAGAGAGAGAGAGAGGCATGGAAAAGAAGGCCATGGTTGTCCTAAACCAAGCCAGCATTCTGTCTAATTTAAGGGTAACCTTGCATGGCTTTTCCCACCCAAACACACTCCCTCCCATGCGCCGCGGCTTGTGCTGCTCCTCTATTCTCACAGCATACCACATGCATCTGCTTCTCCTCTCTGCATATAAAGATCCCTCGAAAACCCCCTCAAAGTCCATCATCCGAACTTCTTTTCCATCTCCTTTCCCAACCAACCAAAAAAGTTCTCTCTTTCCTCTCTTCATTCTCACTCTTGCTGACCTTTTTCTGTTTCTTGTGGAGTAAAAGATGGCTCTCGGCAGGTCGAACAAGCTCCCTCCGGCGGCAGGGCTGAGGCAGATACTGAAGAGATGTTCGAGCTTGGGGAGGAAGGAGAACAACGGAGAGCTTCCAGTAGACGTGCCAAAAGGGCATTTTGCCGTATATGTTGGAGAGAAGCGACGCCGCTTCATCGTTCCCATTTCGCTTCTGGAAAACCCCGAGTTTCAGAGTCTCTTGCAGCTTGCAGAGGAAGAGTTTGGGTTCGAACATGGAATGGGACTCACTATTCCATGCGAGGAGGTTGTCTTCTGCGCCCTCACCTCTGAACTCAGATGAACGAAGCTTTGTTTGGAAGAAGAGGAGAAAAAGCTGAGACAGAGTAGTGCTCTGTCTTGGTTATTGATATTCTTTCTCGTCCTTCTCCTCTGTTTGGGTTTTTTTTTTTTTTTTCTGTGTTAGTTTAGTAGGGATCAGACTTCTGAGTTCCATGAGATGTTACTTATGGCTTAACTTGTAAATGACGAGCGGCGTGCGATGGCGCCCCACTGTAAGAGTTCACTGCAGGTGAGGAAGAAGGAAGGTTGATTGCCCTGTTATCGATCATGAAATCACCATTCTGTCTCTCTCACGCACACACACTCTCTCTCTCTCGCTTGCAAACTCTGCTTCATGTTAAAAATTCAGTGCATAAAAATCAGGGAGAGTAATCTGGATCCTTCTAGTTTTTAAAGCTGCTCTGCTTTTCTGCTCTTATTTTCTTCTTTTGGGTGAATTCAGGGCCGAAAATCCCATTTAAATAAATAAAATAGTCGGATTAGAATAGGGACGACTTTCTTACTGTTTTTGTAGAGTTGTGTTTTTAGAAAAAAAATCTCTTGAAATAAAAAAAAATTGTCTAAAGCAGCCCCAAATCAAGCCTAAGATTTTTTTGGGTACCATTTTTTATTATTTTTTATTTTAGTAAAAAATTCCTAATTCAAAAAAAATTTTATCTTAAAAAGCTATAAAGAGACTTTCAACACATAAATATAAGTAAATAATTATTGAATAATTTAAATATAAATTCAGAAAAAAAATCTTAATAATTTGTTAGTTCTTGTAATGACAATTAGAACTGTCATTACCAGGTTTATTGGCCACCGGCACTGCTCCTTCCTCGCATTAAAACCACAGCTGAAAGACTGAAAGGCTGAAAAGAGAGCAGCTGAGCCTCAGACTCTTTTATTGCAAAGGTAAAGCCCTTTTAAATGCCTCTTAATCCCAACAACAGGATTCCTCTGAGCTCTGACCCCTCTCTCTCTCTCTCTCTCTCTCTCTCTCGCTTCTTTTTCTGCTTGCTTTTTGCTCCTAAAATAATTAAGTTAAGCATGTAGAATACATGAATTAATCAATTTCAGAGCCTCCTCCAAAATTTAGGTATTGTGCTCTATCCAAAATTTAGGTATTGTGCTCTATCCAAATGAAGAATCTCTATGTGATTTTGCAAGTATTAGAGCTTGCAAAAATGCACAATCAAGGTGAAAAATAACTGTACACAACAACATGGATCTTATGCTTAATGCTGAAAATGCATTGATTCTCTAGAAAAAGAGCAATATGAAAAGAAAGGAAACAAAATTTGTGCAAAAACAAGGATAAACAAATGGCATCTTGTGGTCTTTATTCATGCTATTTAAAATGGACTTTACTTTTAGTTTTTTTTTTTTAACTTTAATTTTAGCTGATTCAATGTATGATCGAAATGAGGTCAAACTTATACAAAGAAAAAAGAATTTACAATTTAGCAATGTATAAAAATTTAGCATATAAACAGACAATTAAGGTGGCAAAGAAACACCTAAAATTTTACGTGGAAAATCCTTAAAAGGAAAAACCACGAGGTCTCAATTGAAATGATTCTACTATTGTTTGAATAGTTTACAAAAGTTTGATCGTCCTTCAATTTGAGGACAATGTGAATGAAATATGTTAAAGATCTTGCCAAACATCAAATGAGTATTCTGTGCTCGAATAAATGACAGATGCTGGAAATTTAGTGGCAATAATTAGGAGAATGGTCATTAAAGGTCTGGAGACAAATGGAGATTCGATAATGTTTAATGAATAGGCAGAAGTTTGACGATGGTTGATGTTCGAGAAGAGATGTTGGTGGCCAACGAACGGGTAGAAGTTTAGTAATGGCTGGTGGTTGAGAAGAAATTTGGCGGTGGCCAATGAACGGGCAGAAGTCTTGTGATGATCGGTGGTCGAGAAAAAATCAGGCGACGACCAATGGGCGAATGTCCGACAACAGTTGGTGTTCGAGAAGAAATCCAGAGGCAAGAGAGCTCCCAAATTTTCTTTTCTTTCTTCTTGCTAGTCTTATGTGAAGAATGATCTGTCTATATATATATATATATATATATATATATATATATATATATTGGAGTGCATGGCTAGTAAATATGAAGAAGATCAAGGGCAAGTTGAGAGTGCTCCAATGGAAGGCCGATATCAATTACCTTGATCATGGATTATTTATCAAGTATTTAAGTGCCTTAATGTAGGCAATCTTGGGCTTGTTGGATTCGTCTCGTCGATCTGCTCAATTTGACTATATGCATGTCATATTTGCATATCATATGGTAATTCAATTAATGCTCCAAAGCTTTCGAATAAGCTTTCATCCTTTGATTTGAGCTCAGATTGGATTGAATTTGATGTCCTTGGGTTCGTCTCCTTGAGATAATCAATTTGATTATAAGTTTGCTGAAATCGGAGTTTGGGTGATACCTATTTTAATTTGAGATATTTTCACTTCATATTTGCATCGAGATTCGAGCCCGATCAAGTGAATTTTGTGGTGACACGTCGAAACTAACTCAAAATCAGTTCGTATCTCGCTGGTTCAACTCAAAATCATCTATTTCTCCTTTTTCTTTATTTTCAATATTATATAATTTGCAGATATGTATGTAATAAAATTTTAAAATAAACATGTTATTCATATTTTGAGCTGGCTCGATCTAATAAAAATAAACAGATATTTTTATTTGACAACAGACAACTGCTTGGAGGTTGAATTTTCAATATTATATAATTTGCAGATATGTATGTAATAAAATTTTAAAATAAACATGTTATTCATATTTTGAGCTGGCTCGATCTAATAAAAATAAACAGATATTTTTATTTGACAACAGACAACTGCTTGGAGGTTGAATTTTTTTTTTTTTTTTTGAAAATTTTATTATAGAGTAGATAAAAAATTGAGATTTGGATCCCACTGGAAACGAAAAAGGTTTAGCTGTCAAGGCTTAGATATCAAACAGGAAAAACAGAAGCTGAGGGTGGCATTGGTTTGGCACAGAGCCACAGAGCCCTTGCTTGTCTTCCACAGACATAACGGCTGATTAAATAAAAATATATGTTTCATTGTGAATGTAAAATTTTGAGGGGAAGGATTTGGATTAGGAGGGTAAATGAGTTAGAGTCTAGTTCGAGTCATGTTTAACTCGAGCTCGGCTCGTCGGCTAAATCACAAGGTCGAACTCGAGCTTTAGCTCGACTTGTGGCGATGGATGCGAGCTCACGAGGCATAAGGCTGACGTTTTCTTCCATTTATGGTTCCGATTCCGGCTACCGCGTCCACGGTTCCACATGATTTTGCATCCGAGCTTTCGCTTCTACTCCCATGCCCGCCCATCCACGCATGTGATTCCACCTTCCTCTCGATTCTGCCTTTAGCCTTCCGCACTCGGGCTTCCTCACGAGCTTGCGAGTCAAGCCTCATCAAGCTCAAACTTGAGCTCGTTTAACAAACGAGCTCGAGTTTGGGATTTAGCTCGCGGATTGATAAGCTTAACTCGCAAGCTCGTTAAAAGTGATTTTAAATTTTTTTAAATTGTGAATTCAAGTCATATAATTTGCAATTTAGTGTTCATCATTTAAAAAGAAATGCTTAGATTACACATGTCACATTAACCTAGTTGTTGCCTTGTTGGGAGCTCCAGCCCCCGCCGCAATGTCGAGAAATTATTACATCCGGTCAAAAACTGAATGGTCCGAATGTATACCGAGCAATACCGAGTTTTTGATGACGTGGCGCATGGTTATTGGCCTCTGAACGCATTCGGTTTACCGGATGTAATAATTGCTCCATAATGTCATGGGTTCAAGGCCATGCACAATTTAGTGCGTACAAGAGTTTGAGAATAAATTAGGTCAAATTCAGAAATGAAAAGAAAAAAAAAAAAAACTTTGACCATATTGATTTTGTAAGATATTTTATTAATTTTATGACATGCAGATATTCTATTTTCATAATATAAGATTTTTTATATTGATTTTGTAAAATCTTTTATTAATTTTATGACATGCAGATACCTAAACAAGAGCACAAAATACAGTGACAGTCGACATTCAAATTAGATGAGGTGAGAGAGTTTTCTTTAAATTTAAGGAAAACAAAACTTATATAATTTGCATAATTGAAAAAGATATTTAATTAAATCTACAGGGAGCGAGAACAACCTCTATATACTTTTCGACTTCTAATGACACAAATATCAACATGACCAAGATGTTAAAGTTGGATCCTATTGAAATCCTAATTCTAGTAAAATTATTATGTACGGTCTGGATGAGAATCAGGACGCGCAACATCACCAATTTGCTGTGTATCGCGGCTAAGTACCGGATAACGTAGCGCCTTCTGATTCGCCTCCGAACAATCCGGTGTCTGCACATAATAATTCCTCCTAATCCTAAGATGAATGCAACAACAACATCAAACCTTTACCCACTATGTAGGGTAACCCTTGGCTGAATAATAAACAATAATAAATCTTTTTTTTTTTCCTCATAAAAACCCCTTTTCTTTCTATTCCTCGCAGCCTTCGCGCGCTTCTTCAAACATTGTTATTCTAGCTTAAATGTCAGAAATTCAAGGCATTTTCCTGAAACCTCAAATAGCTTAAACCTACAATATTGTAATACAACAACAACAATAATGAGCTTTTATCCTATTATGCGGGGTTGACTGTATGAATCCTTTTTTCTACATTGTGTCATGTTTAGGGTCAAATTTTCATTTAAATGTAATAAAGAAATATCATTTCTAATATTTTTTAATCAAGTCTTTTTAGGCTTAACTCTAACTTTTTTACATAAGCCAAATCTAATATATATCTATTCTTGTTGCGTCCTGGAATATTCGCGGCGGTAGAGAAATATATGGTTTAATGTCTTAGCATTGTACGAAGATCCAGCACACAAACAGATAAAAGAGGGGGTGTAGCATTCATAAGAGACACCATTGAACCTTCCAACAGCGCTTTGGGTCCATGATTCGGACCCATTTGGGCTCGGATAGGGTCGAATTTGATGTCGTTGAGTTCGTATTTCCGAGACGCTCAGTTCGACTGTAAGTTTGCTGAAATCGGAGTTCGGGTGCTCTCGGAATTAATTTTTGAAGTTTCCAACTAGCTTGTGCCTCGAGATTCGTGCCCGATCAAGCTCATTTTGTGATGACGTATCAATTCTCATAACCTGGTTATCGAAAGGCCTCCATTTTATATGAACAAAGCATCTATGGCAACTCTCTAATCTTGTCTTCCACTTAAACCACTCCAACTGTTTCACGTTTTGCTCGTTTCGTATCATGTTTCTAAGAGTAAAATCACTCATCCGCCTGAGCATTCTCATCTCTGCAACACTTAAATTAATAACATGCTTCTCTTTTAATAGCCAACATTCTGCATCATAAAGCATTGCAAGTCTCACCAGTCACCACGATCTTATAGAATTAAAGTTTGAGGGGGATGTTTCTACACATAACAAGCCCGATGAATTCCTCCACTTCAACCATCCAACTTAAATTCTACTAATAATTATATTCCCATCTATTTCACTATCACTCTGAGCAATAGACTCAAGATATTTAAAATGTGTACTCTTATTAATGACTTGATTATCCAAAATCACAATACTTCAACTAGATCTATTACTACTAAAATTACATTCCATATATTCAATTTTAGATCTACTTAAACGAAAATTTTTAGACTCTAAGGTTGACCTCCATAATTCAAGTTTACCTTAACTCTCTCTCTAGTTTTATCAACAATAAGAATATCAACAGTAAAAAGCATACACCATAGTACAACTCTTGCAAATGTCTAGTGATAACATCCATGACTTCAGCAAAAAAGATATAGGCATAAGGCTGATCCTTGATGTAATCAACATGAAATAGGAAAATAATTGATCAAACCACCTTGTGTTTGAACACAAAACAACCTTATTCTATCTACACTTCTTCATGAAACTTCTCAATAAATGTATAACTTCCATAGTAGACCTACCCGGGATAAATCCAAATTGATTTTGAAAAATTTTATTATCACGTCGCAACTTATGCTTCATAACTCTCCCACATAGTTTTAAATGAATGAACAATCTTGCAATACGGACAAAAAAATCTTAATAATGGACAAGAAAAGCCTTGTAAACTGTACAGTAACCAGCGACAAAGTGGCCTACTACAAAATAAAAACACACACTTTATACTCTGCAGCTCAAATGTAATTTATATTGCAGAAGATTTTGATTTAGAAATGCCGGTATAAGCATTGTGTTGTTACCTAAATATTTCATGTACGCATCACTTATCAGTCTTCCCTTTGGAAAAAAATCTGGTAAATCCATGTCCCTGTTTCTCGGACATAGAATTAGATGAAGAAGAGGAAGAAGATGACCTGTGAATATTTTGTTTTTGGTAATTTGTACTAATAGGTGATTTACTGAAGGGGCTTGATTCAGAATCAGATGGGCTCATATGGGAATTATATCCATATAATGGGGATTCCCCTCCTGTTTCTGTTGTTTTCTCTCCTTGAAAAGAAAGCCGAGGGCGAGAGATACCTGGAGAGTTCAAGTTACCTGCTTCTGCTTCATCTATGGAAAGATCATCCCGTCGTAGTCTGAAGTTTGGAGAAACGTTCAGTGGTTCTGAAGGATTACGCATTGCTTGCAATTGTTTGCCGAGAAGAAAAATCGTCTCCTGGCATTCAGCAAGCTTTTCTGCTGCTGCAGTTATATCTATTTCCTGACATGGAAAAAGATATAAATAAATAATGTTTCCAATATCATTAGAAAAATCTAGCAACAAAATATAAAATTAATCAATTTCAACTTTAAGCATTGCAATTGTTGATGGCAATTTTAGAGAGTATAATCAAAGCGGATTAAATTAGGGTCTAATAACCCAATTCTCAAATTCATTTTCAACACAAATTTAAGCAATTAAGCCTGTGGGAGAGAGCTAATCACATAGCATTTGAACACCAACATATTTTTCAACTTTTCAATGTGAAACTAAACCAAACACTCTTATGTGTCTTAAAAATCTGTACTGATGTGAGAGTTCTCTGTATCTATTATCACTTCCTTCAAAATAGGAGTATTCTTAGGTTCATCTAACATCATGCACCCAATGTTCATGTAATGACATGAAGCCTTCATGGGGTGACCACTCTTGATCCTTGCTTAACTACAATAGAAGGCACTAAAAGGCCATAAGACTCACAAACTGTGTGAATCACTCAATTCTAGCTGAATAATCACTTTTGGATATCACTTGTTAGGGAATAATATAGCAAATGGAAATCAAAGCTAAGCCTAACGCAAATGTTATCAAACTATTTTTCAACGTAAAAGCATTATGGCTCAGGGAAGGATATAAATGAACTGAATCGAGCTACATACTATATTGTTTAAGTTTATTCTTTCATTTTCTAATCTAGTTCAAGCCGAGCTGAAATATGATCCAACTTTTAAAATTTTACTCAAGCTAGTCTATTAGTTTTTTATAAAGTTCAAGTTGAAATTAAGTTTTAAACAAGCCTAACTAATTATGTATTTGTTGCGGGCTACAATATACGCGGCAGTAGAGTGAGAGTATTTTTCGTCTTAGCGTTGCACAAATATCCAACACAAGCAAAAAAGATAAAACACCAAGATTTCTAACGTTGAAATCTTGAAAAAAGGAAAAAACCATGAGGCCTAACCCAGTTCAAATGATTCCACTACTATTTGAACGAATTACAAAGCTTGATCCATCTTGTAATTCTAAGACGGTAAAATTACAATAGTAGAGAGAGTTAGGTGGAAGTCGGGTGTCATTTGGTGGCCAAGTAGGAGTCCGATGACGGTCGGTAGCTAGGCGGAAGTCCGACGGCAATCGGAGGCCGTGCGAAGTTCCGAAGATGGTCGGGTAGGACATTGGCATTTGAGTGCTTTAATGATGTCGGAATTCAATGATCTTGGGCTCGTTGGATTCATCTCGTCGAGCCGCTCGGTTCAACTATAAGTATGCCACATTTGAAAATCATTTAGTCGTCTAATTTATGCTTTGAATATTCTAAATGTGCTTTGAGCCCTTGATTTGAACCCATTTGGGCTTATGATCAGATCAAATTTGATGTCAATATTCAATAGGTTCATCTTTTCGTGATGTTCAGCTCGATTATAAGTTTGTTGAAATTGAAGTTTGAATGGGCTCAAAATTAATTTCAAAAGTTTTCATTTCAAATTTGCCTTGAGATTCATGCCCCATCAAGATAATTTTTTGATGATATATCAGCTGTCCCATATTTTTGGGCGTTGAAGCTTGAAGAGTCTGAAAATATGCGTCGGAGCATTTCAAATTCTTTGAATTTCAAATTTATAATTTTCGAATGATTATGAGGCGCGACTACTCCTTAGACGTCAACATGGACCTCCCCTCTGGGCTGTGAACCAAATAAAACCCCCTTAATCATAAATTGATCATGTCTTAAAGTTAGCGTGTCGATTGGAACAAAAAATGCTGAAAAATTACGTTCCAAAACTTTAAAAATACTTGAAATTGACTGCAGAGGTTCTGATGACCTCTATAAGTGTCAAAATTGAGTCTAGAATATCGAAAAACGGTTATGAAGACTCCAAAAATGTCTAAATCAGATTGTCCGAGCCAAAAATCGGGCCCATGATCGAATTGGTAGCTAAACGCCCGCTGCCCCGTTGTTTGCTGGCCCGCCTGCGACTCGCCTGGGTCACACCCTTTGGCCCGGCTGCTTGTGCCCAAATCCATGAACATGGGCCGATTGTAATAGTGGGCAATTTGTAGTGGGCAGGTTGGAGTGGTGGGCCGTTTGGGAGAAATGGGCCAGATCTACTATATTATATATATTATATAAATATTTTTAATTTATTATAATATTTATAATATTAAAAATAAATTTCTCAAGCCGAACTTTTTGTTTTATAATATTATTAATATAATAATTTTTTTTTTTTCAAATGAACTTACTTACTCCTCCAACTTCACTCTTCGATAATGTTGAACTTAATTTTCAACTAATCTAAGTCCATGGAGTTCATTGTTGGTCAACCAGTATGTTGAGCCCAGACCATGTCTTGGTCAACCTTGTTACCAGACGTGACAAGACTAGCCAAATCTTCACCCATTGGTACTTTCACATCAATTTCAATCCTTCTTTGCTCAACCCTCACCCATTGATTTAATTGACCATGTTGACTGGGTCAACACATGGCTGTTTCAACCCAAGCCTTATATGGTAAATTTGACCTATTTAGTCCAAATCCATTTCATAATCCCCCCTTGCATTTAAACCCTCCCTTATCTCCCCTTGGCCCAAACACGGAAGGAGGCTTGATTACCTCTATTATCCTAGGAATGATTTTGGCCATCCATTAAGGGCTAGGTTTAAATAGGGGTATTAGCGGCATCTTTACAAGACCTTTGCATATTTTTCTTTCTAAAGCCCCTAAGATCCGATCTCCTTTGGTCTGAGCTCTCCAAATCTCCCTCACATCTCCCTACTCAATCCACGTTAGAACTTAGCCAGCGACGGGATCGCGTAGGGGTGTCAATTTATTCGGGTTAAGGGTCGAACCGATACCGGATTTCAGAACGCGGAACTCGACATATCAGCAATATTTGGGGTCAACCAAAACCAGACGCCGTTTTTGTATACGGTCGATCTTTGTGGACACGAACCCGACCGCTTCGGGTTCGGGTCACCCAAACCCTGCTTCGGGTTCGGGTCAACCCAACCGCGCTTTGGATTTATATGCGGACGCCGGGGTCACGCTTCGGCGTTCGGCAGCAGCAACCGCCGCAGCCAAAAGAGGGCAGCATGGGACAAGAGGCCGCGGGCAGCGGCGACGTGCGGCGGACTCGACGCTGGTCCGCGACCGCGGACGTGACTGGCACTTGCCAACAATCTGGGCGTTGGATCGCGGGTAGCCGGGCACTGCCTGGCATTACTGGGCAGATGTGACTCGGCCAGCTAATGTGATGGTGACGTCGTGACGGCCGCGTCACGCGTGGCACTGCGGCAGCAAGTCGATGCATGGGGAAGACCGGGCAGCCGGGTCATTCCGGGTCATTTCCGGGTTCCCTGGTCAATCCGAACCCGACCCGTTTTTTGAAACGGGTCGAAAACCTAAACCCGAACCTGACCAGCTTCGGGTTCGGGTCAACCCAAATCTGAAATTTTCAGTTTGTGTTGGGTCCAATATTGACAGCCCTACTAGCGAATTGAGTCAAAATTCGTCCAAGGAATTTTGCTCTCGATCTAGACGTTGGGAGCTCGATGAGTCTTCTACAAGTTTAAGCGTGGACAATCAATAAATTCAAAGCCACCTTAAGCAGGTTAAACCATCCATTAAACCGAGGTAAAACCCTAAACCTAGCTTAGGACACCTGGGGTTAATTAGCTTTGTATTAAGCGCTTATCGGACCGTGAGAATCATTCTCCACTATTAATGTTCATACAAGCTATCTATATTTAAAATTTCAAGGCATTTCATTGATTTGATCACCTAAACGAGTCAAAAAACACTTATTAGTGCGTTTTCGTGGTCTAGTTCAATGAACAAAATCTTAGTCGTTGATCTCTTGATCAACGACCACGATTTCATCATATGGAGCCCTTTTACCATCGTCTAAAGGCTGCCGCCGGATCATATCACCGCCCGGCCTCATCTGGACTGCTGATTTAAAAGAAGGAAGATCCAACGCCCTAATCACGTAGCCGACAGGATACAATGCCGCGCAATCGAATGTGCCGCCACCAATCATTTGGAGATGATTGTGCGGCGACCAATCGATTTTTCCAATGATGAGTCGACCCGCGTTTCATACACAGTCGAGCGTTCCGCGTAGGCTTCCTATCGCTGGTTATTTAAAATTAGTTTTTAAATCCTTTTTTATTCAAATTGTTTAATTAATTATTTAAAATTATTTTTAAATCCAAAAAAACACATATAATATATAAAAATTTTCGAATTACATTTCTTCATTTTAAATTAAAATTATTTAATTCTATCTATATATAGTTTAATATTTAAAATATTTAATTGAAATTTTAAATTCAATATTATATTAAATATTTTTAAATTCAAATTAAATAAAATCATATATATTCTTAATATTTTGACTAACATCTATAAAAGAATTATTATTGCAGGTTGAATAGAATTAAAAATCATCAACAATTTTCATTCCAAAGGAATAGAATAGTATCTCTCACTTGTGCTTTATATGAACCCAATTATTAGTTTGGACTTTTAAATAAAGGGGCAGAAAATATAAAAATAAAGTTAAATGATTTTCTGGATTAAGATGAGGGCATTTAAAGAATATTAACAAAATATTTTTGAGAGTAAGATTTTAGATCTTAAGATTTTGTTATGCATCGAAGATGGTTAATGCTTATATGAGAAAAAAGTGGCTAATGATATTTGAAGAAGTATTACAAAAGTATGCTTGGCAGTATCAAAGGTCAAAAACTTCTACTAGTAAAAATGTGGGATAACAAATGATAAAATAAAGAAGATTATTATAAAAATTAGTTTAATTTTAAAAAATTTTGATAATCTGAGAAAGATATGAAAAGATGCTCGTTAAAAGAATCTACAAAAAATAATATGCGATGCAAAGGATCTTAGCTTTTAGTCAATTTATACTAATAGATTACGATTTTACTAAGGAGGAAAAAGATATCATGTAAGTTAGCCAAACAAGAGATTATGAACATAGTTAAGGATGTTAGTTCAGTGAAAAAGTGTATTAAAGATGAGATCAAAATACTTTTCATTAGAGTGATATTCAACAAAGCGTGGGATTTTGGAGGATTATTTATGCTAAACTTTTACATGAAGATTGGTGAAATAAAATTGATTGTAATGACCTTAGCAGCCCGAATGGAAAAAGAAGATTTTCTATTTTATTCACGTAAATTAGTAAAACCGCAGTTAGAGAGACTTTTAAAGAAAATGAGGGTGGAAAAGCTGTTGGATATGATGATATTCCAATAGAGGTGTGAAAATGCTTAGGAGATGAAGGAATTTCTTGTCTTACTAAACTTTTTAATACTATTTTGAAGACTAAAAATATGTTAGATGAGTGGAGAATGAGTGCGTTAATTCTTATTTTTAAGAATAAAGGTGATGCAGAAGATTGTGCGAATCTCTGATGCACCGACGCTTCGTTTTAAGAGGGTATGCAGTGTCTGAAATGGATACGCATCCAACATGGCGAGGACATGTGTCAGACACGTCATTAGTGTGTCCCATTTAAAAAAAAAATTTAAACCAGAAACGCATGTCTGACACGTGTGTCCAGCTATTGTATAATTAAGTAAATAAATATAACCCTAATCTTATTATTTCATATTAGCCGGTTTACGCCCGAGTCTTCATCTTCACCTTAATCCTGTATTCCTATTTGTATTCGTGGTCTTCCCTAGCGATTGAGGTGAGCAGCAGTCGACTGGAGATCGATCGCACCCTTGGTCTTCCAGTCTTCCCTTCTAGCCGTAAGCAACAAGCCATCATCCTTAGTTTCTGCGCGCAGTCGAGGGAAGCTAACGCCAAACAGTAGAAAATTTTTCAAACCTATAAGTTGATTTCGTGAATTCGTCATTTTTTCTCCATTCGTCTTTTCTCTTCATTTATTAATGATTCTGTAGATTTGTGATCAGAAGAGCATATTTTTTTTAAGTATTTTATTTGGTTTGAATTAAAATTATTCTCACAATAAAAATTTATTTATTTAATGCATTTTTGATGCGCTCTTACTCTTACAATAAAAAAAATTTGTTGCCAGTGGGCAGCGCCCCCTTGAACCCCCAGCATAGCTGCAAATTTTTAATCCAAGATGT